CTTGATTTTCCAATGTTTTTTCCTTCCAGGACTTTGGCCAATCAGCCAAGCCATTCATCACTGCTCATGGGGGAATATATATTCCAATCTTGGGCCATTTCACATTCTTTTTGTAAGATTTGACTTATTTATCTTTGCATAGAAGAACTGGGGTACAGGCTACAGGTGTTGGGGGGGGGGTGAGAGGATTCTCCAGACACAGAGTGGGGACCAGAACAGGCAGATCTACTGAAACACACTCTTGAGGGGAGCAGCAGGTGAGGCAGGAGAGGTCTGCTGCACCATGTGGGTAGCTCCCTGGCTGGAGATCGAACTCAGGTTGTCCCGGTGGACCTTTGTGGTGCTGGTTCTCAGACTTAACCCCTAGGCCACCAGGGAGGCCCCATTTCTCTTTCCACACAAAGTGGAGGAGCAGGCACACAGCCCAAAGCTCTGCCAATCAAGAGCTCTGCTGCTGTCCTGCAAGGCCTCTCCAAGAGGGGCTTGAATGTAGTCGCTGTCCATTTTTGGCTTCCACCCACATGCCAAGTCAAGCCATTTGTGAACCATGCTTAGGCTTTTTCTTCCTTCATCTACTGGTTGTAAGAATTCCACTCAGTGAAGTGAGGGAGGCACTAAAGCAACAGTGTAGGTGACAAGGCACCTGGGTTCCCTGTTCAGGCAGCTTGCGTGGTTCTGCCTGGGCTCCCTCTTGGCTGCTGGACCCATCTGACTTTCTTACTTGGTAGGCCTGGTAGGACCCAGCTTGTAACAGACTCTTCTGGATGCATGGTCACTTGGCACCTCATTGTCAAACATTCTGTTTCTATCAGGACCCAGGACTGCACCGGGATTTGTTTCTCAAAAGGCATGCAATTCTCTGCTGCAGATGGCATGACCTTGTTCCAGAACCCAGAGCAAGGAGAGAGACCCACACTACATCTTTTCCCACTACTGACACCCCCCAGGATCACAGGATCTGTGCCTATGTAGCAGGACTGTTTATACCACAGCCTGAACCTGCTGCAGTGCCCCTTTCTGCTCTGTCACCCACTCAGGTATGGCCGCCTATATGTCACCTGAAATACACATCAGAGCAATATTTTCCAGGTATAGAATATGTTGTTTCCAGAATCTAAGGAGACCTACCAGGTGTTGTGTTGCTTTCTTCATGGTGGGTGGCACAAGGTGCCATGTTTTGTTTTATTCTTTGGACCAGCTGTTCTGGCTTTGCCTGGATATGCCCTGGACAGATCCCTAAAAATTCGAGTCATGTGGCAAGCTCTTGAGACTTTGCAGTGTTTATCTCCCACCCTCTGGAATGCTCATGTCTTATCAAAACAATGTGCTTGCCATCTCCTGCTCATCAGGCCAGCCAGCAGGTTGCAACTGATACAATCGTCCAGTGTAAGGCCCCTTGGAGCATCCGGATGGTCCAGCCCCTTTTGGACTGTGTTACAACACAGGGTGAAGAGCTAGCTTAGGCCTATGGGAAACCCATCAACAAATATTGTCAGTCCCACGAGTGTGAACGGTTTCTGATCTTTTCTGAGCAGAATCGAAAAGAACTCATTCACTAAATCAGCAGCCACCTGCCATACCTGAGGTCTTTCAATAAATAATGCAGCTTGTCCAGCACTAGCTACAGTCCGTTGAGCTTGCAGCAGTCTACAAACATTCTCCAGGACACATCCAGCCTCTTCAAGGGCTGAGCTAGTTCATTCAGTGGAGATAAGATGGGACCCCTCTATCCTTGAAATCTGTCAGAGTGGCACTAATTTCCTCCAATACCCATAGGATAGATGCAGCACTATTTTGATCAGGGGACAGAAGTGTGGTTTCAGAAGCATCTATTTGGACTTGCCTAGTACAACATTTCTTACCCCACAGGCCAAGAAACCCATGGAGGGGTTCTGACAACTACAGATCTGTCCATTCCAATTACATGTTTGTGAACTGGAGACATGACCACTGGGTGAATCTGCAGACCCACTATGAGTGGGACCTGAGCCAGGGTTTCGTGTATTACCTTACCTCTGTTGTACTTCTCAACATGGCTGGTGCATATTCCTTATTGATTTTGCAAGCTGGGAATCTGCTCTGGGCCCTCCCACAGAACATAGTCAGCTGGTGGGTTTTCCAGGGAGTAAAGTATCCAGTGTAATGTGTTCGCTTCTCTCAGCCCTTTGAACCTTTGCTCCACAGCTGGCCATGGGTGTCCTGGCATTGCTGCTTCACTTATTGTGGGCTATTGTTTCCCCAAGCTTCCATAAATCATCTAGAAGTGTGTCAGCAGCAGCATCTAGGGTCCGTGCCAGAGTTTTAAGTTCCTAGGAGAGTGCTCCAACTTCATACTCTGCCCCCTTGACCCATTGTCCTCAGGATCCAGTCCCATGAGTACTTTCCTCTGTATTAGCCAGATAATTTAGCTGCTTCTGCGTGTCATCCCTCTCCTTCCTTAGGCAAGCTTCAAACACCTCAAGTTGGTTGTGCTAGGATTTGACTCTGGTTGTTGATCTGGTTGCTGAGAGGGAAGAGGGGCTGGGTTCTGAAAGGGGCAAGCATTGTCTTCTAAGTCACCTGCTTCATCTGAGGTCTCTGCATTATCTTCAAGCAGAGAGGTCTATAGTCTGGCAAGGAGGAGTGGGCTACTTTTGCAGGCCTAGTGGATTCAGGTGAATCTGTAAGTTTAAGCTGTTGCATGTATCTCCCCAGATATTCCCATCCCAATCTCAGGGTCGCACTCTTGTCTTATTAGAGTCTTGAGTCTAGCATGGGAAATGACCGAGCTGAGAATTCAGCCTCCTCAGAAGCTTGCTTATGCTTATAATTAAGTCCTAAGCTTAGCCCTCTCCTCTGTCTGCCCTCTGGTTGCAGAACATTGGAGTTTCCCGAAACAGAGCCAGGGAAGTCTTCTGTCTTTTACATTTTGCCTTGAATCAGTGATTATCCACGTTGAGGGTGTCAGGTCTTGCTAATCAGTGATACTTAGTGAATAGTCAATTAAGTCTGGTTACCCTTTCCCTCACAACTCTCAAATACCAGGGATATGTCACCAGCTGGCACATCCCCTTCCACCAGTATGTCACTAGAGTCCACCATCAGTAAGTCACTGCTGCTCCAAAACCCCAGGGGCTGGCACCATAGTTCTCCCACTCCAGAGAATAAGCTCCACGCTGCATCTTTTCCCACTACCAACACCTCCAGTATCACGGGATCAGCCAGATCACAAGGCCCCAGTGGCATCTCTCTTGCACCACAGCCCAGACCTGCTGCAGAGTGCTCTGTGCTGCTACAGCATGTCGTAGTCTCTCTGCTGTGCCCCCACCACCACCTCCCCCCCCCCCACCAATGATGTCTCCTCATTTCCTGCTGGTTGCTGGGTGACCCAGCTCCAGAACTGCGTTAGAGTCTTCTTTGTATTCTGACTTCTCTAGACCACTATTGTCTGGAAACAGATTTGAGGCAGAGATTTGCATGAGGGGGGCTTATCGGAGAGTGCCTTTGTGTTAGACACCTGTAAGGAAGGCAGGGTCAGGCAGAGAGAGAAGCTGGTCCACAAAGTGCTTGCGTCACAGGCCTCAGCTGATCCTAGGGGGAGCTCTGGGGCTGGGGAGGTCCTTCAGAGTCAGCCCATACTGAGGCAAAGAGGCTGACTTTTGTACCCACACATAGACCAAATATAGATCATGGGCTGCTTGAAGTAGGTTTAACCTTGGCCAAGGCAATTCCCGTGACGGAAGACACTTCCCAGTAGGACACAGCTGTGAATTGTTGGCAGCTGATAGTCAGGGTGCACTGGCCTTCAAGGGGCCATCTGAGCACAGCACCATAGTATCCACTACATCCATGGTCCCAAAAGGCTTGTAAAATAGTGATATACTCTACACTCATCATTTTATGCGTGAAAAATGTGCGGGTATGAGGCAAATTCTCTCCAGCCCTTGTGAGGAGAGTGTCAGCTGCAGTGGTGTGTGTCTGTATGTGTAGAGGGGAGAGAGAGAGAGAGAGAGAGAGAGAGAGAGAGAGAGAGAGAGAGAGAGAGAGAGATTGAGAGAGAAGGAGAAAGGAGGGAGGGAGACATGGAGAGAGGGAAATAGCCGTGCTTGACGCCTTCTGGGCATGGCAGAGACCCTGATTGTGTGCGTGTAGGTGGCCCCAGAAGTGGGGCCTCCCCTCCTCCCCCTTCCAGGAGAAACCTGATTGGGGGTGGACTCCTGTGTGTGGAGGAGTCTGTCAGGTAGGACTCTGGGCCTGGGGGATGAGGCCACAGGAAACTGAGCCCAGCTGGGGATGGGCTCAGGGACAGTGACAGAGCAGTTTGTGACTCGCCTGCCGCTGCTGCTTGGACCGCTCTTCCCTCTCCCAGCTCTTCCCTCTCCCAGCTCCCTCTCACCCTCAACGGCGTTCCTCCCCTCCCCCATTGCCAGCTCTGCCTTCTTCAGAACCACAGCCGGCCGGCACCCATCAATCTGCTCGTCCTTTTCTGATACAGCTGCCCACCCACGACCGCTGCGTCCTTCACGGCACACAGCCACGAGAGGCGAACGTGCTCTTCCCCGGCAAGGGCCAGGGCAGAGGCGCTTCAGGCGGCGCAGATGTGGGCAGGGAGCCAGGCCCAGAACTCTTCCTATGCACACATTCCCTGAAGTTCTTTGCCATTTACAAACCCCCATGCAGCGGGAAAGTATGCTGCAGTTCACAGAGCACTCCTCATTTTGCAAAGTTTTTCAAAAACATCTACAATAGCAGGGTGACACGAAAGCTATACTCAGGAAACGCCTGCTCTCCGACGACGTAAGGGCTTATTTAACAGCTGCGGTGGCCTTTGACATGCCTGCGTCCCCATGAGGATTGAAGCGACTTGATTGTTCACAAACACGAATGAGTTTTTCAAAGTATTTCAACAATTATAAGTGCTTTATGGTTTCTCTAGGTGGCAAAGGGGTGGAAGGACTGGCCTGGGTTTTGTTTCCCTGAGATATGAGCACTGATGGATGTGCACTGCTTTTCTTCTCCAGGGCGAAACACTTCAAAGGGAAAAAGATCCATGGAGAAATTGACATTAAAGTAGAACAGGTTAGTTGGGGCAAGTAGGCCTGGGGGGGTCAACTGTCCGGACTGCAAGCTGAGTGGTCGTTTTTTTATGTGATGTGAACAATCACCTTTTTGTGTCCTTCCCAGGCTGAATTCTCTGATCTCAACCTTGTGGCTCACGCCAATGGGGGATTCTCTGTGGACATGGAAGTTCTCCGGAATGGCGTGAAGGTCGTGCGGTGAGTATAAAAAGGCAACGTGGTGTTATGGGAGAGGCATCAAGACAGTGGAATATTATTCACCCAGGAGAGGGGAGGAAAGCCTGCCATTTGCCACAACATAGTTGGACCTTGAGGACATTATGCTAAGTGAGATATCAATCAAACAAAGACAAATACAGTAAGTCCTCACTGGGGTGGTTCATAGATTCTTGGAAACGTCAACTTTAAGTGAAACTACACATGATGAAAGCAGGCCCTTGAATAATGTTTCACCACCGCCTGGATTTGTTTTTTTCTCATCATTATAATTTCAGTGGTGTAGAAGGAGATGTTATTCGAGGACCTGCTTTATGATGATATCGTGTTAGGGAAGACTCTAAAAAAGCCACACTTACAGGAGTAAATTGGTGGTTACCAGGACCGAGGGGTGGCAGAACAGGAGAAACACTTAAGGGTATAAACTTATGACTGGTAGATAAAAAAGTCCTGGAGATCTAATGCACAGTGTAGTGAATATAGACAACCTTCTATTAGAATCATCAAACTTGCTAAGAAACTATTTAACAGCTAAGAAACTGGATTTTAATTATTCCCACCACAAAAAAAGATTAGGTGACACGATAGAGGTGCTAACTAGCTTTACAACGGGGGTACTCCAATTTATAGATGTATCAAATCAGCATGTTGATGTTATATATCAAATATATTTCAACTTAAAAAAAAAAAGAACTTAAGCACAGAATGTGGGGAAGTTGTTTCTCTTCTGAGAATTCCTGGAGCCCAGGATCCCAGCTGACCACAAGCCAAACTTTTCAGTTATTCATCACATTTGCTGATCATCTGTTGCATGTCAGGTACTGCTTTCGGCACTGTACTAAATATCTTATTACATATTTAGTTAATGTATGTCCTGAACCTGGTAGTGAACAAAAAAGATCAAAAATAAGAACAACAAAAAACCCCAACAAACCCTCTACTGTCATGAATCTTTAATTCTACTTGCCGTGGGACACACACAATAAACAAATAAGAAATGTAAACGTGCTAAGAAAAAATACATAACAGCAAAGTGATGTAGGGACTGTTGGATGGTGGCCTTGCCTGCAATCCGGAGAGGGGACTCTGGCAGTGTGAGGCACTGGGAGAGAAATCTAAAGGAGGTGAAGGAGTGATCCGTGCAGTATCTAGGCGGGAAGTGTTTCAGGCAGAGGGAGCAGCCCCTGTCCAGGTCCTGAGCTTAGAATTTCCTCTGGGCAGCATGCTTTGAGGACAGCTGGTCGTCTGAGAGATTGTGACCAGGGAACTGTGAGAGTTGAGCCGGTGAGCTGCAAGGTGACCTTAGCGAGGAAAAGAGAATGAACGTAGGAAAGGTTTAAGGGGGTACCACATGGGGAAAGAATAGAGAGGATAGGCACGCTGGGAATAGCCTGTGCAGGTGCAAGCAGGTGGACAATCGCCTTACAATGTCTAGGAGCTGCTGAGATTTAAAAACTCGGACTTTGTTCTAAGGATGGTGGGGAGTTCTGGGGGGTGAGGAACCCTCAACACTCTTGCTCCTGCCACCCCAGGTCTCTGAAGCCGGACTTTGTGCTGATCCGCCAGCACGCCTTCAGCATGGCGCGCAATGGGGACTACCGCAGTTTAGTGATCGGGCTGCAGTACGCGGGAATCCCCAGCGTTAACTCTTTGCATTCTGTCTACAACTTCTGTGACAAGCCCTGGGTGGTAAGTGACAGGGAGCGCGCTGCTGGCAAAGGGAAGAGTTCCTGTACTGATGTGGGATTTGGAAATCACTCTGATTTGGGGGAACGGAGGAAGTTTGCAGCTTGGAGTCCCAGTTTGTAGACTCCCTCCAGGTGAAGGACTTGCTGACCTGTGTCTACTGCCTCTCATAGTTTGCCCAGATGGTTCGACTGCACAAGAAACTGGGGACAGAGGAATTTCCTCTAATCGACCAGACCTTCTACCCCAATCACAAAGAGATGGTGAGTCTGGGGAAAGTAGAGTGGGGAGGAGGGAAAGACATCACGCCCATTGCAGTAATATTGCCATGGGCGGTCGGTCACCACGGCCACATGCTGGTGGAGGGTGAAGCTGGTCCTGTGAGGGCTTATTAGTGCCATGAATTTACCTGTGTGGTTACAAGTGTGATTTAAGTAATTGATCCTGTTACTTATAGTACCTCTTCTCACCAGTATTAAAAAGTGATTTCTAATGTAAATAAACATCACATTCTATTGCATGTGGAAATCAAGTCATTGGTACCAACATAATGAAATATTCTTCCTGGTAGAAATATTACCTATGTTTCAAATCAAGATTAACAATAAATATTATCAGTAACAGTGTTATAAATTGAATTGTTTACAAATAACTAGATTATTGGTTACTTTTATCATAAAATAATATCACCAATATTACAAATTATCCCTATTAAAAATTATTATTACTGATGTAAATTATGAGTACCAGTGTTATGAATTAAATGTTAACTCCTAATGGAAATTGGATAATCATTACTAGTATCATTGAGGATTACAACTATTATTACAAATTACTGCCAGTATTACAAATTATGCCTCAATACAAGTGTCTGTTTTGAATTATAGTGTACTAAATAATAGAAATTATATTATCATTACTAATGTCAAATGTTATGACTAATATTACAATTTATTATCCATGTTACAAATTAAGATTATCAATATAAGTGATTAGTATGTACGTGGTAAATTAAGTTATATTACTAAAAGAAATTAAACTTTAGTACAAATATTATAAAATATTATTGTAAATTATTACCATTGTTACAAATTAAGGTTGCTAATATAAATTATGAACCCTGTGTTTTGAATTATATCATAGTTACTCATAGAAATCATTATTAACATGGTTAATATTCCAATAAATTTATAAATAATATTAGTATAAAAGTTAATGATTATGAGTATAAATTATGAGTGCCACAATTTCAAGTAGAAACTGAACCACTGTTACTAGTGCCATCAAATTTTACTAAATTTTACAAATGATACAAATTATGTTTACTTATATATATAATGTCATCACCAGTTTTATGAATTTAATTGCAATTAAATACTAACATTGACCCAACATTATCAACTTGGTTAAGTAAACGTTGCTACTAATGCTGAAAATTCTTACCAGTATTATATATCATGTTAACCGATAGAAGTTCATGGTATTATAAGTTTTTTTACAGATAAAGGTCAAAAAATTTGTTTTTTGGAATCCAATTTATCATTATTATTATTCCACACTCTTTGAGAGACAGTACAGTTGGCTAGCTAAGAGCATGGACTCTGTAGCTGGAATTTCTGTATGGGAATCATAACTCCATAACTTGTTAGCTTTTTAATATAGGGACCATTACCTAAATCCTCTGTACTGCAATTTACCCATCTGCAGAATGTGACTAACGGTAGTTCCTGTTTCACAGAGTTGGTGTGAGATTTAAATTATTTAATGAATGTAAAATGGTTTGAACAGTGCATCTGGCATATATTAACTGATATCTAAGTGTTGATGAAGTTTCCTTCTATTCCTACTTTGTTTAGTGTTTTTATTATGAAAGGATGTTGGCCTTTGTTAAATGCTTTTTATGTTTACTGACATAATTGTGTGGGTTTTGTCCTTTATTTTGTGGAGAAAGGAAATTGCATTAATTGATTTTCATGCCAGTTGAAACTCACTTGCATTCCCGAGATGAACCCCATTTGGTCATGAGACAGAATCTTTCCATCTGCTAATATTTTGTTGAGAATCATGGTATCTGTAGTCATAAGACAGCATGCTTTGTCTGGTTTTGGTATCAGAGCAATACTAAACTCATAGAATGAATTGGACAGTATTCCTTCCTCTTCTATCTTTTGTAAGAGTTTGTGAAGGATTGGTGTTAATTCATTTTAAATGTTTGATAAAATTCACTGGTGAAGACACACAATCCTGGGCATTTCTTTGCAGAAAGTGCTTTTTATTACTTATTCAATCTCTTCATTTATTATAGGTTTGTTCCAATTTTCCATTTCTTCTTGAGTCAGTTTTGGTAATTTCTCTATTTCTAGGAATTTGTCAGTTTCATCTAGGTTTTTCTAATTTCTTGACATATAGTTGTTTATAAATACTCTTTTATAGTCCTTTCTATTTCTGTAAGATTATTAGTTACATCCTTTCTTTTATTCTTGATTTTATAATTAATTTACTCTCTTTTTTCTTAGTCTAAAGGCTTGTCAATTTTATTTATCTTCAAGCTACCAATTTTTGTACTTTTTAAAGATTTTATTTATTTTTACATAGAAGAACTGGGGTAGAGGCCAGAGGTGCAGAGGGTGAGAGGATTCACCAGAGATAGAGTGGGGAGCAGAGCAGGCGGATCTACTGAAATACACTGCTGAGGGGAGCAGCAGGCAAGACAAGAGAGGTCTGCTGTGCCATGTGGGTTAGCTCCCTGGCCAGGGATCAAAATGGTGCTGCAGTGGCTGCTGATAGCTTCATAGTGCTGAGATTTAACCCCTTGCTCCACCAGGGAGTCCCCACCAACTTTTAGTTTGCTTTTCTTTATTAGTTTTCTATTCTCTATTTCCCCTTTTCCCACTTTAATCTTTACTTCTTTCATTCTTCTTGCTCTTGGACTTTGCTCTTCTTTTTCTAGTTTCTCAAGATTGAAAATTGATTATTGATTTTATATATCTAAACATACAGATTTACAACTATGAATTTCCCTTTAAGCAGCATTTTTTCGGCATCTCTTAAGTTTTGGCATGTTGTGTTTTCATTTTCATTCATCTCAAAGTATCTTCTGATTTCCCTGCTAATATCTTCTTTGAGCCATTAGGAATTAGAAGCATGTTGCTTTACTTTCCACATATTTGTGAATTCCCCAAATTTCCTCCTGTTCTCTCTTGCACCTTTTTCTCTCCTCTCTCCATTTGGGACTCTGATTATGTGTATGTTGATATGCTTGGTGATCTTCCACAGGTCTCTAAGGCTCTGTTCTTTTTTTCTCCCTTTCTGTTGCTCAGATTGGATAATCTCAGTTGAACTCTCTTCAAGATTGCTGATTCATCCTCTGCCAGCTCAGATGTACTGTTGAGCCTTTCTAGTGAATTTTCCATTTTAGTTAGTGTTTTTCTATTCCAAAATTTCTGATTTTTATAATTTCTATCTCATTATTGATAGTCTCTATTTGTTAGAACGTTATTCACATACCTTCACTTAGTTCTTCAGACAAGGTTTGCTTTAGATCTTTGAAAATTCTCTAAATTCTCACTTATAGTCTATTAATTCCAAAATCTGTGCTTCCTTAGGGGCAATGTCTATTGACTGCTTTATGTTTCTGTATTTGGGAACTGTTTCATCGTTACATATCTCATAGATTTTTGTTGGAAACTGAACTGTTTAATATAATAGGCAACTCTAGATATCAGATGCTTCCCACTCCTTGGCGTTTGTTTTTGTTGCACTTTGTTTTTCTTTTTTTAGTGACTTTCCGGAATCTGTAAATAATTGTCATATATGGCCACTGAAATCTCTGCTCCCTGAGTTAGTGGTCAGCTAACATTGGACAGATATTTGTTAAAATGCCTGTAACAAGTAAGTCCCCCAACCTTTGCTGATGGGCTCTGTGTACATGCTGGCGCATGCCTTCAATGCTTAGGCAGGCTGTTTACAACTTTGCTTTAGTCCTCACTTCCTGCTTGTGCAGAGCCTCAAGTTCAGTCAGAGATCCTGGCATGCACACAACCTTATGCATAGTTGTGGCTTTCTAGATTCCTAGAAATATTTCAGAACTTTACAAAGCCTTCTGTGGAAATCTTGTTACCCAACTTTTCCTGTTAATTTTTTTGTTTACCTTGGTTTTTATTTGTTTGTTTTTTTTGTCCTATCTGTAGTTGCTGGCTCAAATAAATTCTATGTTAAACAATTGCTGCTGAATAGTTTTGGAAAGCATCCCCAAAGAAAGCTGTTCATACTGGGTGGACTCTGAGACAGGTCAAAAAGGCAAAAGTCTCATGATGGAACTTTCTAGAAAAATATCAGAAAGGTCAAATAATGATAATACCATAGGAATGGTGCTTCTGAGGAACTTTAACCCTGTTCTACCTCCTCCAGTGGTTGCTAGGCTGCTGGTTTTCATAAAAATTGCAAGACTGTTGATTTTATAGGCTGTTGTGGAGGTGGGGAGAAGGGAATGGGAACAGGGTACGCTCAAATACAACAAAATTTGCTGTTCCTACTGATATTCAACTATTTTTAAAAAATAAATGCTTTCTGAATTGTAACCTTTTGATCAATTTCTAGAGTTCTGACAAAGTTGATTTTGATAAATTTTGCCAGTATTCTCGTTGCTTTTATAGAGGAGAGAATTTTTATAGACTCTGACATTTTTGCTGACATCACCTCCAGGAATACCTTGTTCTTCCCCATTCCCCAGACCTAGGATAAAAGTGAAGATCTGAGAGCTAGATATACTCATCACTGCTAGAATGTCCCTGTTTCTTCTAGGACCTCTCACTGTGCAGAACTAGGGAAGTTCATATATATATATATATATATATATATATATTTATGCTAATACCTCTGATTCTAATCTAACACATCATAGGTTTCCTCCTAGCCTTCCTACATTCTATATTTATGTTTCTCTTCTCTAACAGCAACAATCCTAACCTGCAACACAATATATTTATTTATTCGCTCAATTCTACAATATATAGAAAGTATTTTTGGAATCTGAACCACACCATGTGAAAAACAAGTCTACTAACATAGACTTTGAGGTTTGTTTGCCTTTTTTTATGTCTTTCGATGAGGGCAGTCAAAGTACTATATTAAAAAATTACTTGGGTTAGTTCATTTTATTTCTGATTCAGTATTCATTTTATTTCAAATATAGTTTTTTCTCTTTCTATGAAATTTTAGTTTTGTCCCTCTGATGCTGATTTAATTTTATATTTTTAACTGT